CATTGGAATACCGATGCCAAGCAGTGACACTCTCAGATGCAATTCAGGAGTCCCTACCACAACAGTCTCCTTGCAGGATCAGAGCAAATACCAAGTGCTGCAGGCCTGATTGACTTACTGCTGTAGGTCTGGCTATCCATGAAGCTGGTGGCTGCACACACACACTGGGGGTCACCAACAGTTGCAAGCAAGAAGGCAGGTACATGATGTTGGTATAGCAAAAGTTACATTTTACTGTGCAGGGATTTATATGCTAATTTCCTAACTATGAACTTAAGGCATTCTCCCAAAGGCTGTTCAGCCATGTGATGTATTTTAGCAGTCTAGTCTCTAACAGTAGGCAATTATTTGAAGGTCAGGATCCTAGAGAAGACTCTCCAGTTACAGGGCAAGTCAAGATGGCATCTCTCCAGTATCTTCAACAGTCCTAAAGATATGCTGAGTAGAGCATTGCTCTTGGTCTCTGCTTTTATACTGTCCTTCGGCTGCCATGGAGCACTGTGTTTATCTTGAGTAAATTATGTCACTAGGTTTAGGCTATTAGATGCAGATTTGGATGTACTGGGGTTCCTGACTATAGTATTTTAACATGTCTAAGAGGCCCTTTTCACTATGTTGGTCACACCAACACTGTGATTTTCACACACTAGCTTTTCTCTGGTCATTTATGTCAGAAGATGAAGAAGAAAGATGGCCCCCCATTCTTTCTATCTCTGAAAGTTCACTTGGTGCGGGAGTTCCTGCAACATTTACTAACGGCAGAGAAACAGCAAGAGGCAAGAAGGAAATCTAGTTTGGCAAAACTGAGCTATTCTGTCTGGTTCAAACTTCTGTTTTTTGTTTGTTTGTTTTGCTAATTTTTTCTATTTTTATTATTAGAAAGAAGATTATTTTATATGTCAATCCCAGGTCCCTCACCCTCCCTTCCTCCCCTGCCCCCAAACCAACTAACGCCCTACCCATCCCATACCCTTTCTACTCTCCAAGGAGGGTGAGGCCTTCCATAGGTGTCTGTCATAGTCTTTGGGATAAGGCCTAGGCCAACCCCTTTGTGTCTAGGCTCAGGGAGTATCCCTCCATGTGGGATGGGCTCCTAAAGACCATTCCTATGTTAGCGATAAGTACTGATCCACTACAAGAAGCCCCATAGATTTCCAATGTCTCCTCACTGACACCCACATTCAGGGGATCTGGATCAGTCTCATGCTGGTTTCCCAGCTATCAGTCTGGGGACCAAGAGTTTTCCTTTGTTCAGATCAGCTGTTTCTGTGGGTTTCACTAGTCTGGTATGGATCCCTTTGCTCATCAGTCCTTCTCTGCATCTGGATTTCAGTTCAGTTCAAGGTTTAGCTGTGGTGTCTGCTTCTACTTCCATCAGCTGCTGGATGAAGGCTATAATATGGCATATGAATTAGTCATCAATCTCATTATCAGGAGAGGGCATTTAAGGTAGCCTCTCCTCTATGCTTGGATTGTTAGTTGGTGTCATCTTTGTATCTCTCCAGACATTTTCCTAGTGCCTGATTTCTATTTGAACTAATAATGTCTCCCCCTATTATATTATCTCTTATCTTGCAAGCTTCTGGAGTCTGATTCCAAGCAGGTTATTTTTTTTTTACATATTTAAACATAGTACAACTTTAGAAAAATGTTATTCTTGCTTTTATTTATTTTTATTTTAGAAACACTCTTATTAACATATCAATACCAGTTCCCTCTCCTCCCATCCTCCCATGCCTCCCCCTCAATCCCCCCACCCACTCCCCAAGGAAAGTGAGGCCTTCCACAGGGGATCATCAAAGTCTGTCACATCTTTTGGGGGAGGGCCTAGACCCTCTTTGGTGTATCTGGGCTGCAATAGTATCCCTTCATAGGGAATGGGCTCCCAAAGTCAATTTGTGCACTAGAGATAAACACTGGCTCCACTGTTAGAGGTCCCATAGATTGCCCAGGCCTCCTAACTGGCACCCACATTCAGAGACTAAGAATGGTCAGGATAATGGAGATTCGCTTGAGACCTGGCTTTACCTTATGTAGCATTGCTGTAGAAAACCTAATTCAAAAAGGAATAAATTTTCTCCAGCCTTCAAAACTCTTCACTACACATTTCTACATCTTGTTCATTTATATAGACTTCATCGCACATTTCTATGTCCTGATTTGCAAAAACTTCATTATACCATATTTTATGTTTTTTTTTAATATCATCAAGGATGGATTCCATCATTGTTCCAAACTCAATGATATTATAAACTCCGTTTTCATGCTCACAAATGAAGCCAGCAGTGTGCATGGCCACCAAAGAACCTTTACAGTCAAATACTGGCGATCCAGAAGAGTCACAATAAAAAGTATTATAGGTAAAGTCATTAGGTTTTTCACTCATTTTGGGGAAACTTCTGTTAGTATGCAAAAGGAGGAGGTGCTTCAAAGAATAGTTATGATCTGCTGCTTCTGCTCCATGAACACATTGTCGATTTTTCTCTTTTAGTTTACCTTGAGGGATCACTGTACAACGATCAATAACCCTTTGTCCATTTTCATAGCCAATCATAAATGCCAACTCACTGGGATGTGAAAGAGCTATTCCATTATACAGTCCGGCAGGCACTTGTTGACCATTTTCCTTCAGTTTCAGGACAGCATAGTCAAGAGTTACATCAGATATGATAAACGAGGGTTCAATGCAAAAACAACTGTTGAAGTTTGAGTTTGGCTCTTTACAATATTCCTCATCAAATGTCACCCTTACACATTGGCTAATTAGATCTACACACTCAAGTGGCTCTTTTCCTTCTCCCACAATGTCATTTAGCACATGTCGACAAATGAAAATGTACAGCCCTCTAAAAACAAAGCAAGTGGCACTACCCCTGTTTCCATTATTGTCCCAAACTATGAGCCCAGTGGAATCAAGGAACTGTGAAAGAAGTTTGACCATTTTATCTGGAATAGAGCTTTTTGTCAGTTCCCTGAACTTTCTCTTATGGGCTTTGAAAAAAGATTGTTCTTTACTATTTTCTCTTTCTTCCTTGATAAATGCTCTCATTTTCTCACGTTCTCTTTTCAATGTGGGGTACAAATTCACAATGTATCCTTTTAACTCACTGAAGTTTCTGTCCTCCAACTCAGATTTCTGAGCTGCCATGGACACCCCAGGCCTCTCCTTTCTTCCCACAACAATCTGAAACAGCTTGCCCTGTAACACATCAACTGGCTGGGTGTTTGCTATGGTGGTGTCATTGTTAATGAGTCGCCAATGGGCACTCTCCACAAAGGAATCAAACCTGCCATCCTTCCTCAGAGTGCTCTTGATGGTCTCTCCTTTGAAGCCATAAACACAGAGTTTGGTCCCCTCCTTGTGAAGTTTCCTGCACCTCAGAATTCTTTGCTCCCTATTCCCGACTGCATGTATGTAAAATACAACACACTCAGCAGGTGACTGGTCAAAGCGACCACACACTTCATTATTTTCTTTCTCCTCACTTTCAGTTTTGGAAAATGTAATGAGGACATGGCTGCCATCTGGAAAACAACGGAGGGGCATACCAAGGTTTATGAACCCTTCTATTCCTTCTATGCCACATACCAGCATTTCTTTGCCTGGGTGTCTTTCTATCTCTCTTTTGACAGGGTCAAGGATGTTCAGTGCCTCATATAAGCTAGCTGTCTCCTCCTGGATAAAACAGGGCATACATGTCTTGGCATTTACCCCCAAGGTGATGTTGATTTTTTTAGTTAGGGGAGTGGTCGGATCTTGTGGAGTTTTCTTAGAAGAACAGAGTCCTTGCTCTTGTGTGTTAGGTATCTCATTTGTTCTTTTTCGGGATCCCATTTGCATTTGCAACATCTTGGGATCATTCTGTTCTTCTTGAAGGACCTAAAAAGAAATGACAGATACTTTAAAATTTGGATTCCAATTCTAATCTTTAGTTTCTTGCATTAGTATGTAATTAAAGAAACAGTGAATATGCTTAAACCATGATTTAACTCAAGATCCAAAATACAAGTCTAGCCCCCACTAGGTTATCTATCAGATAATCTCTTCCTATTGCATATGGCCCCTTTCTCAAACAAATGGGCAGTAAGAAACACAATTGTTTTCAAGAAATTACCTGTCTATCAGCTTCCATAAATCCTTTTTCAAGTATTTTATTTTCAGCAATGCAATTTTTTATCTTTGCCAAACATAGCAAACGATGGTATAGCAGCTCACAACTGTCTATAACTCCAGCTCTAGGGCATTGGATGCAATCTTCCAGCTTCTACAGTCACACACATTTCTATGAATGTAATATTCCCAATACTAACAAGAGCCATTCTTAGCAGGAAGATTATGTGGCCTAGGATCTAGCCAGATATAGTCTAGTATGAAGACATCCCACAAATACACAAATGTTTACAGACATACCCGAGGCTGATGGTACTTGATTTTCATGTTTTTCCTTAAATCATGATGGAAATCCTGAGACCTGGGCTTGCTATAGCTCATGGTGGCTTGGAGATGAAACAGATGCTCCAACTGAAACAGTATTTTCAAAAAGTTCATATTACAGTAGTATCTTCCCAGCCATCACATAGTGTATCTAGGGGGAAAAATGCCTGAAGTTCCAAATCATATCTTTCTTCTTCAATTTTCATGCTCCAGGAAGGTGTTAGCATCAGGTAGTTTATCGACCAAGCATAATGAGCCAAATAGTAAAAGCAAAGCACTGTATGTCAGGCATTATACCAAAATATCAAAATCTTAATAGAAATGGTCTCTAATGGTTGACCAACAGAACTATCACGGAACACAGGTTCCATTCGGATGTTTTTGTTTGTTTCAGACGGAGTACTCTGGAAAAGAAGGTGAAGTGCCCTAGTCCAAATCTTGAAACACAGAGGACACAAAAACATACTAATTATTTAAGGAATTCTGGTCTTCATTGAAGATAGAGATGGAAAGGGATAACAAATTGTAGGAGAACAGGAAAGGGAAAACTGGATAGTACCCAGAAAAGAAATGAAATTTAGCAAGAGTTATCAAAAATCAGAAAAATGCAAAGAAAATGGTATTTAGGAGCCTTAGTTACTGCTTTCGTTTTCTTTTTCTTTTTTTGTCTGATTGTTAATTCAGAGACAGGGTTTCTCTACGTAGCCTTGGCTGTCCTGGAACTCACTCTAAAGACCAGGCTGGCCTTGAATTTAGAGATCCACCTGCTTCTACATCTCAAGTGCTGGAATTAAAGAAATGTGCCATTTGCTTTAAAAAGTCCCCCCCCC